CATGTAAGTCCAATGTTACTGGCTTATAGATTTTTTTAATCTTTCATAAAAAAAGCAATTAAGACTTAAAGATATAAACAGACCATTTCACTTTCTAGCAGCTCTAATGTAAAATTCAAGGGAACATTTTTCACAATAATTCACTTGCCATTTTAGAAAACCACTTGCGAGTTGCAAGCCACATTTGGAGAGACACTACAACTGGAGATTTTGAATATATTAAATAAAATCAAGGACTTAGGCCACTATTCATTATAGTATCTGGCAATTTTTTAAAGAGCGTTTATTAACATTTAAGGGACACCTTAGGACAATGTCACTGTATCATTCCTCTTATTTATTTGACTAAGACAAGTAACGGCTGTGATAATAGTAGTATCTTTAGTTTTTAAAGAGTAACAGAAATTTAGGTTGACAAAGGACCTTAGAGATCTTCCTGGTTCAAGCCCACACTCTCTAAGGAGACTAAGGTCCACAGAATAAAGGGTTTGTCCAAAGCCAAACCGCTAGACAGAAGCGATGCTGGAGTGCAAATCTCAGGCTCCCAGCCCCTAGGCCAGAGCACTAGGCACTAACCTCGGTGCTAGGGATAGAGTAGAGAACAAAACAAAAAAACTTCTGCCCTCATGGAACACAGATTCTAGTAGAGGAGACAGGCAAAAAAACAGACAGTAAGAGCTGTGAAAAAATAAAAGAGCGCAGATTAAAGGGAGCAGAGGGGCTAGCAGCTGGAGAAGGGGAAAGGGCTGCGTTTGAATGGTGCGGTCAGGGTGGGTCTCACTGAGAAGGCAGTGCCTGAGCACAGCACTGAAGGAGGTCAGGGAATCAGCCAGTAAGACATCTGGGGGAAGAACACCTGGGAGAGCAAGCAATCAAGATAAAGAGCCTGAAATAAAAGCACGCATGGCATGTTCTAGGAACAGCAAGAGGGTCTGGGTGGCCAGAGCTCAGTAAGAGGAAAAAGGAGGAAATGAAGTCAAAGACATCAAAGGATCACGTAGTGTCTTATCATCATTATAAGGCGTCCTTGCAGTGTTTTAAAGAGCAAAATTGTGATATAATCTCATTCAGGCTGTCAAAGGGGCAAGCTATTAGCAAAGAGACCAATGGCAGCCTCAAATATTAACCCTATGAGAGCTGAACAGCTCCAGTGGAAGCTGAGGGGTTTGGGAGTACTTAGGGGTTCCATGGAACACAGTCTGAAAACCAATATACTGTGCTGCATCAAAGACTTTTGTAAAATACAGATGTCATTCAGTGTGATTAGTGCTCTCTATAACCTGTACATATGCAAAAAATTTCTTCCAAATCCATTAAAAATTATAGACATGCCCAAAGTAAACTTTTGTTACTTTCCATCTTACTATCAGATTAACTACCACATTTTTAGGTGTAGTCTCTGCCATTTAGCAGTGTAGAAACTTAGCTGGAATAAGTCTATCCCATAAACTATCCAAAAATCACGCAGTAACTATAAAAGAAAAAACCTCATTTTGGCCAAGTATCTTACTTCATTCCTATAATGAAATGAACTCTCTTTTACAGACAAAATAAGGTTTAAAAAAAAAAAAGACAGTCTTGTCCGTAATCATACAGAGAATTAAGAAAAGAATTAGAACTAAAATATACATGTCTTAGTCCTCAGTGAATTCTCTTTTTACTATGATTGAAAGCCAGGAATTTGATTTTTTTTTAAGTCCTATTACAGAGATAAAATTCCCATTAAATATTCTGATTTGGAGTCGTCTTGTATGCCTGAGACTTTCCCTTACCTCGTTTCATGGCCCTGGGGCTGCCTGGCCCACTCCGACTGCGGGAGTCTGACTCCGAAGTCCGGGAGCTGGATCTGGAACTATCTTCCTCCTCGGACCCAGAGGAGTCATCCAGGAACGGGCTGCTGCTTATCTGGGTCGCCTTCTAAGGAAAAGAAAAACAATCTCCCTGTGTCCACCTCCAAGGTCACTTCTTTTTTTAGATATAAGGATGTTTTATCAGAAGAAGTTATGGAATACGTTTTTGAAAAGGAATACAAGAATATATTTTGCCATTATCAAAGTCATGTTGTTAAATCCCAAATTCTGATCAAAAAAGACATTTGTCAATTATAAAAGATTCCTAAGAATGTAAGGCTGTTAATACCTGGCGATACTTATTTTAATTAGGTACTTCACGCAAGGGAGGAGAGCCCTGGCCGTGACACAAAGATCTTTTTATATTAGGAGTTTTCGGTACCTCATTAATAATGTCCCCTTTAAACAAGGAACAGCTATGGAGGGGTGGAGGCTCACATGTAGCATAACAAAACAGGAGCCCATCAGACCTCTAATACTGTGATAAGAGTATCTTCTCCAGATGTTTCCATTTCGTCTCTTTTTATATTTTATGTTAGTGTGAACTACTAAAACTCTCTATAAAGGGAGAGTCCATGTAAAAATCAAGAATGGAATCTGGAGCTTGAATAAACAGTTTTCTTGATCTATCATGAAGAGGACCAGATGTTAACAGTAACAATAATGAGTTACCCCCTTCAAGGTTGTGTATACTGGGGTTGTCATGTTCTTGTATATCAGAGACGTATAAAGTCCTGATGTGGTACAGGAAAGCATTGCAACAGAATCTGAAACAGAAAACAAAATAATTTCTTTTAAAAAGCCTTCTAACTAGCACCTAGATCTATTTCTTATGAATGTGAATTAGCAAAATTTCCAATGAAAGAGAAATTGGATTAACACACGTGATATTCATTATAGAGTCTAAGAATCATGGCATTTAGAATTTTTATTATATACTCTTACATGGTTCATTATTTCCTCAAGTGTGCTGGTTCCCCAACTAGACTGTAAGCTCTTTGAGAGCAAGGGTCTTAGCTTTTAATTCTTCAGTGTCTCCATCCAGCTCAGGCTGGGCAGAAATGAGTACAAACACCTGCTGACTCACTCAGCAAGCAGTACCCTATGAAGCTATTCTCTGATTATTCATAACCCTGTTACAGACATGGTGTTAAAACATCGCCACTTTTAAACCTGTCTCAGGTGAACCTCATGTTGAAAGGTGAGAATAGATTTCCTGAATGGCAAGAACTGAAGAGAGCTGAAAAGGAAGGGAACACAGTGGTTACCTCTAAGATATGGATTAGCAGCAGGATAGGGAGGGGTCTGGTAGAAGGAACCCCAGAAATTTTTCTCTTTTTATTCCAGACAGTTTTCTGTTGTTTAGTTTTATTTTTCATAAGGGACATGTGTTATTTCTATAATAATTTTTATAGCATTGTGTAAAGATTCCTATGGTTTTCATAGGAATGTGCTTTAAACTCCGGGAAAAGAAGACACAGAGACAGATATTTTTACCACTTAAACAGCTGAAACTCCACAGTTTCTTAGCTTTAGGCTCTTTTAGGTAAAAACATGAGGTACTCGCTGCATGAGAGTTGAACATATATGCGTGTCCCTATACTGAGTAACAAGAATTTCAATTTTAAAATACAAATCAGCAACCTTAAAAAGCATTTTCTAAAGTTTGCAAAGCTGTGTTTATTCCAATGACTTTAGACATTCAGGAAGTTCTTGGCTACTGAAATGGCAAAACAAAATCACTTATTTCTTTCTAACTTTTTTTTATTGCAGTAAAAAACACATAAGATAAAATTTACCATCTTAAACAGTTATAAGTGCACAGTTCAGTGCTAAATGCATTCACATAGTTGCGATTCAGATCTCCAGAACTTTTTTATCTTGCAAATCTGAAACTCTATACCACTTAAGCAACTACTCGGCTTCCCCTTGCTCCCCCCTACTCCCTG